TTAACTTAAATATCAATAAAATAAGAGTAATAAAGAAAATAAATAAATAAAATTTCCCTTTTTCTCTACCACTATCCATGTGTCCTTACTCCAATTTCTTTCTCTGAGCCACAGGAACCTGGAATCCCAGTTGCTCTTTGGATACAGATCCATACCTATGACAGGGAACCTTGCCATTCTTCAGCCCCACCAGGGCAGAGAACATGATCTCCCTGGAAGCCCTCAGCTTGTTTCCTTATCAGCTGTGTCTCTTTGACTTCTTTATGTAATTTCTAAATTATGACCTTGCCAGTTTAGGATGTGACTATTCAAGAGGCCAGGAAGAAATCTCTATTAACCTGAAATCCTTCTCCTTCCTCTAGTCCTATGATTCATAGATTTGGTCTTTTCATGGTGTCCCACATCTCTTGCATATTCCATTCCTGTGTTTTTAAAAATTTTCCATATTCTTTGCTTGAGTGATCCAGTTCTTCAACTTTATCCTCCAGTGTTGATATTCCATTCTCCATTTCATCCATTCTAGCGGTGAGGCTTTCCCCTATTGTTTCAAGTTGCCTTATTGAGTTTTCCACTTCCTTCTTCATTTCTGCCCCAGTTTTCTTCAATGTTTCTATCTCTTTTGTGAATTCATTCAGAAGTTTATCCCTATCTTCTTTTAGCTCTTTGATTTGTTTGTTCATGTGTTCTTTAAATTTGTAGAATTCCTTGATCATGTTTATGATTGTTCTTTTAAGTCCAGTGTCCTGGGTTATCTCTAGGGGGTTCTCCTTGTAGGACTCTTCTACAGTGGTGGAGTTTGGTGGGGGCATAGTGTTTTGGCTTTCCATTTTATTGTTTTTTCATTGTGATTTTGGCATGTGAATTTCTTTCGTTGTTTATGATTCTGATATGAGAATTAAGTTGAAGTATACTTCTGTTTGTATTATGCAGGTGCCTAAATCCTTTGAGGGAACTGATGGCTTCAGATCAGCTATTCAGGGGTACCCAGAGAAGCCCAATTCAGGGTCCAGTCAGGTACACTCAGGCTTCCTTAACCATGTGGAGGCAAGATCCAGGCTCTCAGGCAGTCCCATGCATTGTCAACCCTTTGTCAGAGGGATGCCAGAGGTGGGCCAGAACTCGGGTACTCGCTATTGGTTTGTTGAGATCCCAGCCACTACTCTGAGGGAGGTCTGAACCCACCCTCTCAGGCTGTCTGCTAAGATCTCAGCCTTAGCCTACCAAAGCCAGAACTTCCCTGGGGCCTTTGGAGCAGCCTCACAACATCCCAGGTAGGGGGATGGTATGGCACGAGTAGAGGAAGCTCACCACCACATGGAGGCAGGATCCTGGGCCTGTCAGGCAGTCCCCTGGGTTCTCAAGTCCTCTGGTAGTTAGAGGCCAGAGGGAGGTCAGAACCCAGGACTCTCTGAAGGTCTGTTGAGCTCTGAGCCACTACCCCGATGGAGGTCCGAATCCACCCTTTCAGGTTGTCTGAGTCCTTGGAATTTTTACATGACTTCCATGAATTACTCAGATATAACTAACTAATTAGAATGTCTCAATCTACTGGGTTGAATAATTTCCACTCAGTTCAGTTCTACCCAGATCTGTCATGTAACTTTCCTTGGAAATGGTTTTTGCAGATGTAATCAAATTGAGATGAAGATGGACCTTATATAATTTGTGGCTTTATACTATGAGGAAGAAGACAGACCCAAAGAAAGTGTGTCACATTGTTGGAGGAGGCAAAAGTACAGTAATATGTGTATAAAACAAGTAGTGCCTTAGACATTTGGGGGACCACTGACAAGGAAGGGGCAAATAAGGATTTTTCCCCAGAGACTTCATAGAGAACATGGCCCTGCCAGCACTGTGATTTGGGCATCTAACCTTCAGAATTCTGAAAGAATTAATTTGCTCTTTTCAGTCACTGATTTGTTATAGAAGTCCTGGGAAACCTGCATGCCCAGGTTATCCTATGTGGTATGGGTAATTAGCCTACACTAAAACGTGGCCGTGGCTATTAAGGTCATGACCATAAAGGATGTAGTCCTCAAGGTCATGACTATCATGGTCATGAGTGTCATGGTCACAAATGTCAAGGATATGCATTTCACAGGCAGAATTGTCAAGATGCAGTTATGGGAGCCACTTTGGAATCTGCCCAGCACACAGATTATTTACTTTACATTTATGTCTCAGTTTTATCTAAGAAGTACTTGTGGTTATATTGCAGTAGCAAACATGGAGAGGTTGGTAGGATATTTTTACTTCTCTCTTACAGAGGAGGAAACAGGAGCTCAGAAGTGTCAGTTTCTCATGGCTCTGTTCAGCTTCAAAAGTCAGAACTAATCCCAAAAATCAAAGCTAGACCCTCAAATTTGGAGGTGCTGTCTCTACCAGCATAATCAATTAATTGACTCTGTTAGTAAGATGGAAGTTCTGGGAAATCAATTAAAGTGCTGCTGAGAATGTGGTGTGGAGAAGGGGCAAATAAAGCATTTATTAGTATTTTCCTTTCTTTTATCTTGTGACAGTCATCACTTCCAAGCTCTACAGAGCTCAATCACGGAACCACAATGGGCAGGCTTGGAGAAGGAAGCTATGCAAGGTGGCTTCCTGAAATAAAATTAACGTATTAAGCCATAATATGCAACTGTAGATTTTCTAGAGTGTCATATATCCCAGGAATTAAGTTGCTTTGAGCTATGGCCTGGGGCAATACATGTTCTCTGAGATTTAATTGCTGTTTAAATACCCACAGTGCCCCCCCCACCCCGCCTTCTCTCCAACTAAAGAAGCAGACTCAGAGAAGAGAAAACCCATTTGGTTTTATCAGGAAAGCAACTTCTTCTCACCTGGGTCAAAAATGAAATTATAAGGTTTGTTTTATACCCAGGGACAAAATCAAGAAAGACCTCTCTCTTTCTGAGTTGCTAATGATGCATTGTTTTTAAGGTGAGTGCTTGGAGAAGTGAGCAAGGATGCAGCCAGGTCTGAAGAGGCTGCAGGTGACAGGGGATAGAACTTTCAATGGTCATGGGTGATTTCTGAGGTTAACAATATATTTAAGGGCTGTATAAATGCCACTGACAGCCATTGGCATTGCCATTGAGCCTGTATTATACTCCAGGAACACTGCAGGAATATCTCATTGTACCCTCATGATGTCTGGCCTTAGTTCCATACCAGTGAGAAAACTCAATGTAAGAGCTGAGAACAGCCTTGCCCGACATCATACTACTTGATGAGTGAACAATACTTTGACCAAGTCTGCCCTTTTTCCAATATTATTGATCACCAAATGAGAGAGAGAAAGAGAGAGAGAGAGAGAGAGAGAGAGAAAGACTCTTCAAAGAGAGAGAGATAGACTCTTACTGGCCTAGAGCTTTCCAAGTAGACTAGGCTGACTGATTAGGGAGTCCAGGGATCAGCTTGTCTGCAACATTTCCATTGCTAGGCATACAAATGTACACCACCACACCTAGCTTCTTTTGGGTCCTTGTGCTTGCAAGGCAAGTACTTTATTGGCTAGCTAGTGACATGAGTTTTTAACAACTGCCTTAATTAGGATAACTCATTTGTTTCTTCAAAGCCACACTTATGAAGCAGTAGTGTTATGTCCACTTGAATATAAGGTAATAGCGGTACACAGAGGAAAAGTAACATTGCCAAGTTGACACTGCTGAGGACTATTTCCTATTTAATATTTCTTTTGTAAAGGACAAACTGTTTGACATCCCTAGATGACACAGAAAGTGGACTGGTCTGTCATTGTCAATCTTTCTTGATTGAAGTATAGCAGGCTCTGTCTGTTGCCCAGACCTGCTTCTTGAGGACCAAAGCACCTTCCTCTGTACAATCAGGGATGTCTAAGGCTGACATCTTGCAACAAAGACTGAAGCAGAGAAAGCTCTGGGTACAGGCACCCAGTCCTCCTAGGGAAAGCTTGAACCCAGGACCTAATCAACACAGATTCACTAGGCTTCTCCTCTTGCTTTCATGCAAGCTCCTTCAACTCAGGGCTGGCTTTGGGACACAATGGCTGAGTTGCTTCTATCTTGTCACCCTGCTTTGTCCTCTACAGGGCTCCATGTCCTTCCTTATGTGTAAGTTCTCACAGCCCAGCACACCAGAGAGAAAGCTGCAGCTACCCTGTGGGGGTCGGGGTGGGCAGGCAGGGTGAGTAAGACACTAAGGGAGGCACTTCAGCAGGATATTACTACAGAAAGCCTGGTATGACATAATCCTTCCATGCAGATCTAAGTTCTTTGACTTAATGAGACTAGCAACCTTCTACCTGCACTCAGCTACAGAAGACAGTGGTAGGAGTGGGATATCATCTTCACCCCAAGGAAGAAGAAATACTGGCAGAGGTTAGAGTAATTTCTGTTTCATTTTGTTGCTTATTTAAAAAATTTGTTCTTTTATATTTTTTAGTTAACTCTTGTATTTCATGTGTTTGGTTGTTTAATTTTAGCATATATCCTGTTGGAATAGACTTTTATGTTGGTCCTTTTTCCCAGTATCAATTCTATAATATCTTCTCTGTTCTTTCTCATATCCATATATTTTCCCCTATACTTATTCAAATTACACATAACCAATAAGGTAAATTGAAGTTTCTCAAAGTTGTGGAAATTTACTTTCATATTTAACTTCCATGGAGTTGACTGAAATATTCAGTGTGTTAAATTAATGTATATTATATTTGAAAACATATACAATGATGAGTTTGGAATAGGATAATGTTCCTATATCCTAGATCTTTGCATTCAGAATTATTAATGCTACCTACATTTCAAAAAGGTTCAATTCTTGAAACTGAAATTTTCTAGTATCACTGTCTACAAGGCTGTGCAAAGATTAGATGCAGTTAATTTTACTTTCTAGTACACAACATAGCTTTGTTTTTGAAATAGTGCCTAAAGAACACACAATGTTTCCATGCAAAAGCACTACAGTGTCTAAAGCCCTTCTAAAGGCTAGTTTGTAAGTGAAATAAAAAATTTTTTATTGTGCTTCCTTCAGTAGCACATATAGTAAATTGGAACCATGCCAAGAAGATTAGCATACCCCGTGCAAGGGTGACATGCAAATTCATGAAGCATTCATATTTTTGCATGGCAGAGGCTTTACTTCACGCTGGGGACAAGGGAGGCCTCTGTGATTTTGATCTTTGGAGGATGATTCTCTCAAAAGAACCTTCCACCTCCCATAAGGCCCAGCTTTGGTCCTCACTCCATACATGGTCCTGGGCTTCTCCATTATCAAGCACCAAGAAGTTTCCCATCATTTTTCTATTACTTTTCTACAGCCCCAGTATGCCTTCACCTATGCCCTAATTGAACTTTTAAAGATAAAACTCATAGTCTGGAAGTTAAAAAAAAAAGAAGTAGAAAATACTATAATAACTAAACAGATACAACCCTCAAACTAAAAATATATACCTATATCTTAGAATATAAATTTGAAATTCTATATGTCTACTATAATATTTGAATATTGTTTACTGGCAAAACTGTACAATCAAACTTCAACAATAATGTGAAATTCATCACTTTCCCTATAGTGAGTTTGCCCTTTCCAAATTCTCCACTTATACCAAGTCTTTCAATATAATGTTATTTCTTAAAGAAAGCAATGTTAATAAAATATTTTATTTTATTTTATGTGTATGAATGCTCTGCATATATGTAAACTCAACAAGGGCATACAATGCCAGGGATGCCAGAGTGGGCATTAGATCCCCTGGAACTGGAGTTAAAGATGATTAACTGTCATGTGAGTGCTGGAAACTGAACTTAGATCTTCTGTAAGAAGACTCTTAATGGCCGAGCCATCTATCTGTCCCAGCTCCAGACATGAAATTTAAAATAAATGAAATGATACAGTTTCTTCATTGGAAGGAAAGAAATCCTCTGACCACTCAGTGAACGTTCCACAGAAATCTCTATCCAAGGTAAGTGTCTCAGTGAACCCATCCAGCCCATGGAACAAAGGGCACAGGTGAACATGTCCCACAGTGTCTGCCCAGGTAGGACATAGTGGGGGAAAAACCCTTCTCTTTCACCAAGTTCCAGAGGTCTTGCCACTCTAACATATATGCTGGTAGGCTGATTCAGTCATATTGTCTTCCTTGTTTATCTCAACAATCAGAGAAACAACCCTTTGACTGGACAGATGACTAAATGAAAACTATATCTCAATGGTATCATTGTTTAATAAAACAGATAATGCATTAGCTGGTCTTGGTGCTCCCTAATTTCTACCTTATGTCAATGAATATTATCAAAGTAATGCATGCAATACTTCTGAATTTCTCCACATAGAATAATCTTGAGTCAGAAAAATTGTTTGACTGATTGGTTTTCAGTTTTGCATTAGAAGCGGTCAGGTTTGATACCCTAAGTGGTGGAATTCTGGTGTTACTATTCCATAGTTATCATGTCTATGTCCACTTGCTACTCTGATGTAATTAGTCTATAGACTTAATATCATTCTTAAAACCATAGTTTGGCAGTACTGAGGGAATAGTTTAGTTGGTAAAGTTCTTGTTGTGCAAGCATGAAGACCCGAGTTCAATCCCCAGAACCCATATAAAAAAGTTAGGAAGGTGGAGGTAGAGAGGATCCTTAGGACTTGTTGGACAGCCAGTCTTGCTGAATTGGTGAACACCAGACTTAGTGAGAAACCCTGTCTCAAACAGTAAAGTGGAGAAGTGATTGAAGAAGACACCCAACATAGAACTCTGGCTTTCAAACATATGTGAACTCATGTGCACATACACCTGCACACTCACCTGTACCCACAGCCCCAAACATGTACACATACAAAAACACACAAAAAAGAGCACACTTTGAGATGTGGACCTTTCTGTCTTTTTTTATGCTGTTGAGGCAGCAGGCAGAGTAATAGTCCTCCAAAATATGCAGGCCTGACTCTGGAAGCTTTGACACTGTTAGGTTAAAGAGTAACTGTGCTGGATAGCTTTAGTGTCAACTTGACACACCTGGGTTGAGGGAGCCTCAATTGGGGGATTTCCTCTATTGGACTGGCCTGTGGCCATGTCTGAGGGGCATCTTCTTGATGAGTGATGTGGGAGGGCCTAGCCCACTGTGGGTGGTGCCACCCCTGGGCAGGTGGGCCTGTGTTGCATAAGAAAGCAGGCTGAGCAGGGGTCAGGGGAGCATATCAGTAAGCAGAGTTCCTCCATGGCCTGTGTTCCAGCTCCTGCTTCCAGGTTCCTGCCCTGAGTTCCTTCCTACCTTGGGCTCCCTGATGAACTGTGACCTGGGAGATGTAAACTAAATAAACCCTTTCCTCCCCAAGTTGGTAGTGGTCAGAGTATTTTGTCACAGCAATGAAGAAACAAACTAAGACAGTAACCAATGTTCCAGATGGAGCTAAATTCATTTTTCAACTGGCCTCAGGGAAGAGACTTTCCTAGGTTACCTGGGCAGGTCTAATAATCACCAGTGTTTTTATACATGAATATGAGAGGCAGAAGAGAAAACCAGAGGAAGGACAGTGCAAGAGAGATTCCAATATTGCTGGCTTTGAACACGGAGGGTGGAGCAATAACTAAAGGACATGGCCATCTCCAGAAGCAGTAAAGGCTCAGAGAGAACACTTTCCCCATAGGCCCTGGAAAGAATTGAAGCCTTGATCTCCAGAATTAAAATATGAGAAATTGTGCTAGTTTACGCACTGTGCTGTTGGTAATTTGTTGCAGCTGCAATAGAAAACTAGTAATAGAGGATCATGGGACTTGATTTCATCCTATTTTTATAAGGTTGAAAATAAATGTTTTATTTGAGAATGTGAAAACACTTTGGAACACTAAAGTCTCCAAGCCTACCCATAGATAGGGATTTCCTAACCTATGAGACCTAGTGGCCTGTGACTGCTATGTGTACCCTACTGGATTGATGGATCAGTTCAGGATGTCAGGCTGCAGCACCAGTATTCAGTGGCAGGGTGGATACTCTGAACTAACCCACCCCAGATTTAGGTCAGACTGTCCCAGAGGCTTCCAAGGAAGAGGGTGGGAAATACTGTCTGTCTCCTAGTGAAAAATGGGTGTCATCTGATTTAAGGATTTCCCACACTTTTGCTTTGCTTCCTCAGAAATAAAACCTTAGAGTTCCAATAAAACCTCTAACAAAAAGAGAGATCAGTCTAGAAGATAGCTTATCCTACTTGGCATGTATACTGTTTTTGGCCTCAGTACATTTTATTACAAAGAAGCAAGCCTCTACTACATTAAAAGACCACTGTCTGGTATTGATTTTCTTCCATACTATACAAGAAGTGGAATGCAGATGATAAAGCTCCCACTCATAACCTCTTCTCTATGCAATGAAATTTGATTTCTTTCAATAACCCTCTTTTAAGATACATGTTTGAAAAGCAGAATTTCCAGATGAAAAGAATTCTGGAGGAATTAACATCATATAGGCTTTGAAAGAAAATTGAATATATGTTTAAATTGAAGACAGCTACAGTGCTGTGGTTTGCGTATCGAATGTTACCTAGAAGCCCTTGTGGTGATGCTTTTGACAAGCAGTGGTACACTCAATAATTGGAGCCTGGTACAAGGTCCTTAGGTCAGTGGGGTGTGCCCTTGAGGGGAAAGTGAGATGCAGACTTTTCCTTTTTCTCTATGCTCCCTAGCTTGTGAACTGAGTGGTTTTACTCTAACGTGTACTTCTGTCATGATGTGCCCCTTCAGACCCAGGCCAGAGCAACAGGTCAGCAGGTCAGGGACTGGAGTCTCCAGAACTATGAACCCAGATCATTCTTCTCTTCTAATCAACTCAGATATCTCAGGTGTTTGTTATATGACTGGAAAACTCATGAACATGTGTAGTGACCAGAATGCCCAGGCTCACTGCTGCTCTCATTCATTCTGCCTCCATGCTTATCCCATTGTCTGTTTCTATTAGTTACTTTCCTCATAGCTGTGATAAATACCTAACATAAACTATTTAAGGAAGGGAGAGTTTATTTAGATTCACAGTGTGAGAGTACAATCCATGATGGAAGGAAGTCATGGAAGGACCATGAGGCAGCTGTTCACATTGCATTCACAGACAGGAAGCAGAGATAGATGAATGCTAATGCTCAGCTCACTCCCTTTTATTCATCTGGAACCCCAGTCCATGAAATGGTGCCATCCACAATTAGGGTGGGTCTCCTCACCTCAGTTAATCCAATCTAGAAACTTCCCACAGGCATGTCCAGAAGCTTGTCTCCTAGGTGACTCTTGATCCTTTCAGTTAACAATTAGTAGTAACTATTACACTCTTCCATCCAGTACGTTACAGATGTTGCACACAATGAAACTCTTTGAGGCCAAGCTGTCACTTCACAAAACTTTTCTGTGAGGAATTCAGTCCCAGCCCTCTTTCCCTATTCAATATAACCTCTGAGGAGGAGGTATCTTCATGCTCCAAACCGGACTCCAGCAATCCCTGGGCTCTCTACCCTCAACCACTAAGTTTTGTATGAACAGTGACTTGTTTTCCATCATCCCTCTCTTCCTCCAGCTTCCCACTTAAGCTTTAATTTCCTAGCCTGACCGGGAGAGGAACAAAAATCATTAATCAGATAAATCAACCCTGAGAAAATTATTTTCTGAAGAATATTATCTCCAAGAAAATGTTAGTGATTCTAAGGAATGTTAATAATACCTGTAAATTGTTTGTAAAATGTCATACTAAATATAACCAAGTAAATCTGCTTATTCCAGACACATTCATATTCTTGGAGTTTTAGCAAACTGTCTGCATGAGATGTTTTTAATGTGTGTGTGTGTGTGTGTGTGTGTGTGTGTGTGTAGGCCAGAGGACAATGTCAGGATTTCATTTCATTCACCTTATTTTTTCAAACAGGATCTCTCATTGGTCTGAAGCTAACTGATTCAGTTACATTGGCTAGTCCGTGGGTCCTGCCTGTCCCCACCTCCCCAGTGCTGGGATTATAAGCACATACCACCATGCTCTGACTTTTTCACATGGGTTCTGAGGATCAAATTCAGGTCGTTATGCTTGGACACCAAGAACTTTACTAGCTGAGCTATCTCCCAGCCCTTCATCATATTTTTAAAAAGTTTTTAGA